GCCAGGGGCCGCTGGGCGGCGGGGCCGGGCCGGGAGCGGCACCGCGCGGGATGCTCGCCGCCCGCCGGGATACGGGATACAGGATACAGGCACTCCGCGCAGCGCCGCGGGCACGGAGCCCTGGACGGAGCCGTGCGGCCCCACCCGCGCGGATGGCGGCACATCCCAGCACGGGGCTCCCACACCCTGCGGCAAACGCCGTCAGGAGAGAAGGCGGCGGCATCCCCTGGGGCAGCACCCGGCTGCCTTTGCTCGGGGGATGGGTGGTGGCATGGGCAGGCAGACACCCTCGGTCCGCCTTTCCCGGCTTGGGAGGGCGACGCTGTCGCGACATTGAGAGGAAACTAAGGGACACGCCGAAGGCTCCTCGGCTGCCTCCGAGACGGGGGCAGAGCGCGGCGGAGCCCCGCAGCAGGCGCTCACCGCGGCTCACACAGCCGGGAGCCTCCCCCGAGGGCAGGACGGCAGGCAGCGGCCGCGATCCCCATGCCGGGATGCGGTTCCTTCGGGACGCACCTGGTGCCCGGGCAGTGAGCGGCGCCCGCTGCGCCGCCCTACGAGCCGCGATGCTCCGGACGCGGCTGGCGCGGGATCGGAGGTGACACCTGAGTTAGGACACCCTGACACACCTTTTTGGGGTGTTTCTTCATTCTTTTTTTTTTTATCTTTTTTTTTTTCTTTCATTTTAAATTTTATTTTTATTCTTCTCCCGCCCGCCCCGTGCGGCGCTACGGGTGTTCCTCCGAAGGCGCTCGCATGCACCGGCAGCCGCTCCCAGCGAAGCCGACCCTGCTCCCCCTCCCAGCCCCGCCGCCCCCCGCGTGTTTCCCCCACGCGGCTCCGCAGCCCTCCGCCCCCGGCCCGAGTGCCTCCGCCGAGCCGCGCTCACCCGTCGGAGGTGATGGCTCCCGGTGTTGTTCCCGATGTAGCTCCCGTTGTCGCTCGCGGTGTCGCTCCGCACGGACTCAAGGCAGCACCGGCCTCCGGCGGGCGTGCGGCCCCTTTAAGCAGCTGCACCGCCCGCCGCCCGGCGCGCGGCCTGAGCGGCAGCGCCGTCCGCCAATCACAGCGGCGGCCGCTTCAGGTCCCGCCCCCCACCCGGCGCGCGGCGGACGGAGCGGGCGGGGGGAATGGCGTGAGAAAGTGACGCGGCGTGGGCAGAGGGCGGTGCACCAATGGGGACGCGGCAGGGGCGGCGGACGCCCAATGGGAGCCGTGCGCCGTGCTGGGACAGCCAATGGGAGCGCGCGGCCGACCGCGGGTGAGGGTAGGAAGGGCTCGGGCCGGGCGCGAGGCGGTTGCCTGGCAACGGGAGTGTCCGCGTGTCCCGGCCCGAGCAGCCCCGAACATCCCGGCCCGGCTCGGCCCGGCCCATCCTGACCCCGGCACATCCTGACCCCGGCCCATCCTGACCCCGGCACATCCTGACCCCGGCCCATCCTGACCCCGGCCCATCCTGACCCATCCTGACCCCGGCCCATCCTGACCCATCCTGACCCCGGCCCTCCTGACCCCGGCCCATCCTGACCCCGGCCCGGCCCCGGCTTGTCCCGGCTCCCGCCCATCCAGCCCCTCAAGTGTCCCGGCCCCGGCGTGCCCCGGCACCGGGGCTCGCACGGGCTCCGCCAGCAGAATTGCTTCACGGAGGATGTGATGGATGTCCTGTCCTGTCCTGCCCTGCCCTGCCCTGCCCTGCCCTGGATCTTCCTGTAACATTTTCGTTCGAGCTCGTTAAATCCTCCATGTGCCAAGCCGCACATCACGGGGTTACTGCTGTCTGACAAATTGGCATTGTGTGGGTTCTTCCTGCCAGCCTCGCTTGCCTTTAGGCCGTGCGATGATTTATTGCCACCTAATCCATTGCTGCACACCCTCAGAGAACTGGGAGAACAAACCTCTGGGCAGGTGGGAAGCTGCTTGACAAAAGTCAAACACAAATTTTGTACCCTGGGTAATTGGGCTGTAAATCACTGCTTTAAGGAAACGCAATCCCTTAGCAGCTGTTAGGTTCTGTGAGATCTGACTGCTGAAGCCAGCCAAAGACACCAGCCTGCTCTCCTCACTCCACTCCAAGGAGTTAAACCACCATCTTAGGGGCAGGCAACAGCACTGCTGAGGAAATGGAAAAGCCGTCATTGAAAGCGTTAAATCCTGTCCTGTTTGTTCAATCTGTTTTAAACTTGCTACTGTTTGTTGTGCCATTGTCATGGAAAATCATCACAGATTTGTCACGTAACTATCTGTAGTGTGAGTGTTGAGAAATACTACTGAGAAATCAAGAAAAGTTTTGCTTGCATGTGCTGCCCTGCAGTCTCCTGATAAGCTTGTGCCAGTCCCTGTTACCAGCCAGTTCCATTTGTAATTCTGAAAAAACATGTTGACAAAATGCAAATTCAGTAGGTGATGGTGTAGTTACATCATGTAGACACAGTTACCTCCTTTGCCTACAGACAAAAGGGACTTGTCAGGAAAGTTCATCTTCTGTTCTGGGACTCCAAAACTTCAATTCCTTCTTCTTTTCTACTCCTATCACAGGAAAACAAAAACAAAAAAAAACAACCAACCAAACAAAAAAACCCCCCAAAACAAAATCCAAAACCAAACAGAAGAAAAACAAAACAAAACAACAACAGGAAAAAACCCAACACTACAAATCAATCAACCTACCAAAAAAAAAAAAAACAAACACCAACAACAACAAAAAAACCCCCAAAACAACAACAACAACAACAACAACAAACCCCTCAAAATGACACAATACTAAAAAAACAGAACCCGGGCTGTGTCCTTGTTCTAGGCATCAAAATGGGCTCCTAATTCCAGCCTCAATATGCACTTGGTGACAAAATGTTTCCTGTGACAGGGATGCCTGGATGGCTTTATGGAAGAGGTGCTGGGGAGCAGAGGGAGCTCCCTGGGGCTCAGCTGCCTGTGCAGCAGGCCAGCACAGGTTCCCCTGTCTCAGGTAGCCTGGGCTGGGGCTGCCCTGGGGAAAGCAGTGTGATGGAGCTGTGAGGAGCCTCCTTGGCCCCCTCTTGCCTTTCAGCTGGGATCTGTATTCACACTCGAGCCATTGCCAGAGGGGCACCATGAATGTGCCCGAGCATGGTCCAGCCCCTCCTGATCCTGACCCAGTGACTTGACTGCCCAGCTTCACCTCCGACCTGCTCATCTCTACAGACTTGTCTGAGAACCTGGACTCCTGTTTGACCCTGTTTTGCCACCACCCTGTTTTGCCCTGCTCTGCATGTTTGTTTGGGCACTGTGGGAGCGTGCCCTTGGTGAGGTCGCTGGCCTGCCTGCTGCCTTGTCACGGCCCTGGCTGCACCTGCTCTCGCTGCTCCTGGCAATGCAAACCTGCTCAGGTGGGGGGCTTCCTTCTGATGAATGTCTTACTTGCTTTCAAAATGGTGATGTCAAAATTGGGTTCTGCAAATTTTTTTTTTTGGTGCATGTATAGTCAACACTAAATGCAGATCTTAAAAATGCAGATCTTCTATAGATGTCATAAAGAAGCCCTGCCAAAATTACTAAGATTAGCCTGGGGAGGTGATCCGTGTTATTGCTTTCTTTCCCATAGTCTATGTATCTCTACTCTCTATTTAGAGATTTACCTGCTTTTACACCGCTAAAAGCGTTGGTTTTGCCTCCTCAGGATGTTTATGGATCCAGATGCTAATTTAAATTTATATCAAGTCCAGATGTCCTTCTCTTGCAGACTGGTTTGATTACTAATCCTTTATAGCCTAAGATCTATAATCTACATTTTCTTATTAATCAGCACAATTTATTGTATAATTTTTGTCAATAGTGTTATTATTTTTATACAGGTTTATGGCACTATTTGCTTTTCCTGCTAGAGACTGTGTTACAAGGGAAGACTTATAAAAAATTACAATTGTTTCTTCACAAGAAAGGATCTGCCTATGCTGCTGTTGCAATCGTCTACAATTGTTTTACATTAATTTCTCGTAAGGATTGCATTGATATCATTAAACTTGTTGGTGAATGTTATTCCAAACCTCTCAGTTAATTAATTATAATTTTCTAACCAAATCACACTCCACACATGCGATTGCACTATTTCCAGCCCAGCTAGTAAGAATGCAGGGCATTTCCCTTTCATGGCTGTAGAGCATAACCAATCTGCCCAGAGAGATATTCAGTCAAAAATTGTATTTGCAAATTGTGTTTATTTGTTTGGATTAAGGGCAGATTGTTTTAACAAAAATGGTACTACCAAAGAAACTCAGCATAACTCAGAATAACATTGCCTCAGAAACATCCTCAAGTGTGCTAGTCAGGGGGCAAGCACGTATCCTCTCCCTCTGTTAAAATCCAGGCTGTTTTGGTAAAAGAGGGGTCTGAATTTGAGCCTCTATCAACATTTTTCAACTGTGTAAAAGTGTGTGGTAACTCCTAACCCAGTACTTTTTTGAAAGAAAAATGTTTGAATCTTATGACTCTAGTGTGACTTCTAGTTTTAAGCAAGAGTATCAAATTCAGGGTGCTGGTTTTGCTTTAATAGACCCAACAGGTTCTTTGCTTTTGTTTAACACTTCTTGAGCAATGCTATTTGTGATTTCTTTAGAGCATCCTAAAGACTTAGAGGCTGTTACAGTAAGTTAATAACTCTCAAAATAAATTTAAAAAGTGAATGATAATAATCTGCTAAGCTGTTTCTTAAAAGTGGTTAAGAGTGATTTTATTGCAATTCTCAAGAATAATAATTACAAGTCTAATTTGGACTTATTTCAATGGAAGTTACCCTTCTAAGCCACTAAAATACTCACTGGTGTTTTCAATGCATCCAACTACATCTTTTAGGCACCTAAACCTATTGAAAAGAGAGCTTTATTCAGCATTTTCAGGGAAAACAAAGTAATGTGCCCTACTAATCTCTTCCACAAAACAAGATGTTGAGATGACTTTAACGAAAAAGGCATTGATTTTATTTTGTTGCCAAGTACAAAATAGCAAAGGTCAAAAATAATGCTCAGGTACAGAGAATATGAGGTCACTCAAGTGAAGGTTTGGAAACTGGAAGATTTTTCTTCTACATATTTGTGTGTCAGCATTCAGGGATAAATAAATGAAACTGTATAAGGCAGTGGATCTTTCAAGTATTGTTTTGGTACTTCATATACCAATACCAGGAAACAAAATTTTTATTAGATTGAATGACAGGTAGAAGTTATTTCTAATTCAATTCCCAAAAGAATGCACAGGAACCAAAACTTGAAATACAGCTGGAAGCAGGGAGTGGACTTTGTAATCTCATAATTTCTCAGTTTGATCTACTGGTTCCAGGAGAACCTAATAGGAGACATCACACTGAAGAATTGGAAGATGTAAACAAAAATATCAAAGCCTGTCTTTAAAGTAGGTCCAGTAAATGCAAATATTTCAATAACATTTGTGTTGCAGATCTGATTTGGTCTTTAATTTCGATACAAAGAAAGAATTGCTGAATTGATAAGAATCAAAGATTTGGAGGCCAGAAAGGCTGACAGTACAAAAACTAGTTATTAGTATCTGTACTGCTTTCCAAATGGGAGAGATAACTGCTGCTGTGCTGTGATCCTGCAACTGTCAGAGGACAAGTCTGCAAGCCAAGACTGTACCTAAACCAGCATTAACCTCTTCCCTTCCCTTCCCCTCCTTCCCCTTCCCCTCCCTTCCCTTCCCTTCCCCTCCTTCCCCTTCCCCTCCCTTCCCTTCCCTTCCCCTCCTTCCCCTTCCCCTCCCTTCCCTTCCCTTCCCCTCCTTCCCCTTCCCCTCCCTTCCCTTCCCTTCCCCTCCTTCCCCTTCCCCTCCCTTCCCTTCCCTTTGTTCCATACTGTAATCCTGTGAAATGCTCTCTCCCATACTCAGCCATGGA